TTTTTGGCATTTTCATGTAATTTTAGACTGGGTGTAAGGGTTATGGCTATGGTACAAGCCTTTTGGCTAAGAGTATAGGGCATTTAGTATGGAGTACAAGGCATCTGGCTCAGGGTGCAAGCCTTCTGGCTGGGGGTGCATAGCATTCGACTTAGGGTGCAAGCGTTCTGTCTTGTTGTAGGTTGTGTGATGGCAACATTTATTTACATGTAAATCTTTTGGCATTTTCACATAATTCTTGTTTGGGTGCAAGGATTGTAGCTATAATGCAAGCCTTCTAGCTTAAGGTACAGGGCATCCAGCTTAGGGTGCAAGCCTTCTGGCTTGTTGTAGGTTGTGCAATAGCAACATTGATTTCATTTAAATCTTTTAGCATTTTCATGTAATTTTAGATTGGGTGTGAGGGTTATGGCTTAGTGTGTAAACCTTTAAGCTTGGGGTGTTAGGGTTTTGCTTATGTTATACCATTATTGATTTACATATAATTCGTAGTTATTTTCATGTAATTCTTAGTAACTGACAAGGGTTTCCTTTCTATGTGACGGCTGTACATGTAAATTAGTAGAGATTACATGTAAACTGTTACTCAGTAATGCTCACAATTTTTCCCTATTATTGATTTACATGTAATCTGTAGTCATTTTCATGTAATTTTTGGCTACTGATAAGGCCTTCCTTTTTTGTCTAATGGGTTTACACATAATCTGCTAAGGATTACATTTAAATTGTTTCTTAGCCAAGGTAAGCGAATTTTTTCCCTTCTTGATAACATGCAATAACTTGTGCTTTTCGTGTAATTACAGGGACACTTGTAATAGGTTCTCCTTATGTATTTTGTTTACATGTAACCCACAACATATTAGATAAAATTATGGCAATGAAATGCGAGGATTCAACAATTTTACATGAAAGACAACTGAATTTTCAATTTTACATATTATTATGAACAAATGAACTCCTGGAACTGCTAGTTTTGGTATTTCATTATGCAAAGTACAAACCAAGAAAAGATGAACTCCTAGTATAGTTGTTGCTATTACAAAGAATCGCTTCTTAAGGAAGAGAAATTGATTGACACTACAAAAAAAGCAAAACACAACTTAATCTATATATATTTAATGGCAAATACTGAGGCCAAGTTCTACATCTCCATGTAAACCGTTATTTTTATACATCAGCTAGCATTTTTCAATTTCTAATAAATATATCAATTAAGGTTTTTTTTCCCTCCTTGTACAAATATTATGATATTGAACACTATCTCTCTAATTCAAGTTTAGACTTCTTCAGAGCTATCTTTTATGCAAGTTGCTTCAGTTCTATCTCTTGATTGAGCGTCCTTATAGTGCCTACTTGCTCTACTGCAATCTTAAGCCTTCTTCAACCTCTATCATCCTTGTATTGATCTCACCAAGATAAGCATACATCTCACAAGAGGTTTGTTGGGATTCTACTCATTGAAGCTCTCCTTGAGTCAAGAGGCCTCCTCTTAAAGGGATTTACTATGTTGCTGAGGTGCTTCAAGCAAAGCCTTGGTCTTCATAAAGTTGTTGTGGATGCAACAAAATATTAGCTTCTCCTTCTAGTAATGATGATTGTGCTCTTCAAGAGATAGGTCATTTAAAATAGAATTTTGCACTTTCGTTAGGGAAGATGAAGAATTGGTAAGCTCCCAAAAAAGTATTTACACTCAATTGGTCAAATTCTCAATGGATCAAAAGTATCTTCTGCAATCTAGTTTTAGAATACAATCTAGTTTTAACTTTATGCTTAGGACATTAGCTTCTTTCTTTCACTAGTAAGTGATACATTGGTGCTAACACCATTTCTAAAGTCAAGATGATTAACTTCTTATGTATAAGTGATGATAGCATTAGAAGATGGCAAAAAAATTCAAAAGAAAGAGGTCATGAACTCATTACAAAAATTTAGTAGATCATACTTACAGCAGAACAAAGGCTTAGGTGAGGGGAGTTTTAAGTTTAAAGTCAAATACAAGCATACCTAACCAACCCATTGGATAAGGCATCCTCCCACACAGGTTGAAATTGCAAGCTATATAGTCCTATTTGAAAACATATTCTTTTAATCATATAGAAGTCGATGACCATAAAGACATTATGCACTAGATTGGGTAGCCAATGGAAATCATTCATGTAACATGCCCCTCCAACTAGGCAAGCAAAGAAATAGTGAGGCTCATTTTTGCCACTAGTGTATTACACTTATGCCACCATTTACTCCACCATTGAACCTCTTGAGAACCTTGAAACTCATCCGATTAAGGCATCATGTGAAGAGATGGGGTTGTCTTTCTTAGAACTCATTACTCATAACTTGCTTATAACTCACACCCCATTGATGGTCCCTCAAAAATGTCCCTTACCGTCTTCTCCTGTTCAACTCGCTCGAAGAAACCAAGCACAGAGTAGTATTTGATTTCAATTTCCTTTGTTATGGCAGGGGCATTTTGGTCTGACTTGAATTTGTAAAATGAATAAAAAAATTAGCTTGGTCCTTTAGTGAAATTTGGTCTCTAGGACTAATTTTTATTTTAACCTAGTCCTTTTTACTAATTTTCCCTATATATATATATAAAGAGTAAAGTATAAAGAAATTTACTGTTTATAGAACGGTAGAATTAATAGGTTGTGGGCACATCAATAGTTTTTTTTTTAATTTAATGGTTTTTTCTCAACTTTTTTTTTGCAACATTTTTTTTGTTTTGCTCATTTTTTTTAAAAAAATTTCGTTAAGAAAGATTAAAACATGCTTGACCATGATTATTGACATCTAAAATTTTTTTATATTGTATTTTTTTGCCAAATTTTTAATATTGTATTTTAATAATATCATATCAACATATTTTATATTTTTATATTTTTCAATTTATATTTTAATTTTTTTTCAACCGATAACGTGTTTAGAAACAAAATAGGAAGAATTACATAAGATTCTACATGAGATTTAATTACTCTAAGGTCCATTAACAATTAAACTAAGGTTAGACAATGTTGTCAAATTATATTTTAATTCTCTTATGTGATATTTCAATGTAATTCTCCCCACAAAATAAGGTGTTTATATTTTTAATTATGTATAAAAGTAAAAAGTTATATAAACCAAAATTGACATAAGTAATAAGGGTTCTCATTACTTGAACAAATTGTTAGGACTTGAGGATTTGAATTCCAACCCTTGTGCATGTAGTAGCTTTACTTAAAGAGGTCTGTTATTTCCTTACAGTACTTTGAGGTAGATAATCTCTATGGTGGTTAAAGGTTATTCCTTGTGCAATAAGGAAAGTTAAAAAATTATTAAAAATAATAATTTATTATTAAAAAATGCCTTTTTAGAAAAATGCAACATTTATTTAAAAAAAACTTTTATAAACATTTAGGCAAAGTCTTTGACTTAAAAATTCATTAGTCATAAAGGTGAAATTTAATGTTTTTGTGAAAGTAAAAGTATGTCCATATTTTAGCAAAGAAGAAACTAAGTTTATATTTTATTTGTCTCAAGTATATGTTGTATAAAAATATGTAAATACAATGAATGAATGTTTGATCTCACTTTCAAGTTTATATTTTATGATCTTCATTGATTTATTAATGGGTTAATGAGCATTCTAGACCCTAAACTATTACGTAAATAGTGTTCTGAACCTTCAATTCTTGAAATATGTAAAAACTCCTATCAACTTTTAAATTTAGAGCACCTAAAACTTTGTTGTTAAATTGGAGATAACGGTCATTATTTTTTGTAGCTGTGGGGCAAAATCGCACACTCATGTTATGAGGGAAGTTTTCATACAATTTAAAAGTTTTAGGTCCAAAATGCTATTCATGTAATAGTTTACAGTTTAAAATTCTCATTAACCCATTATTAATAGTGCATTAGGTAATTGGTCCCATTCATATAAATCTCATAGCCTTTTCTATCATTTGTATATCATTAGAGTAGTTGAACTTGGCTTGAGTAGATTTAAGGATTAATTATTATGTTATAAATTCATGGTGATATGTCTACTTAAATATTTTGTTTAATTAATTATTTGAAATATTAATACAATAATGTGCCAGTCAGTTCTATTTTCTAGAATTTTCTAACAGCAACTTTGCTTTACCTTCTATGAGTGACCATGCTCATGTTAGATAACATTTAACCCAACCCAACTTAAATATAAGGCTAAAAGTTATTTGTTTTGTTGATTTGTTACAAAGGTTTTTCCGGTTATAAACACTATTAAGATCGTGCATCGCAATAAGATATATGATGGACACTTTTTTGTGTGTGTATATGCATCCTTTTATTAGAGATAACTATGTTTAAGGCATGATTAAACACTAAATATAAATACCTTTTCACTAAAATTTGAACCTTGATTTTCTATGTTATGAGAGACTAGTCTATGCCACTTATCTATATTAAAAAAAGAATTATTAAAGAGTTTGATATAGAATCTCTTATAAATGATTTTAATGGCATGAAAGAGGGAATGATTAAACTTCTTTATCTAAAAAGAAAGGCTAATATTTGATATTTCATCATGTAATTTAAAATATTATTTGTTAAATACTCAAATGTTTTGTTATTTTTGGTTAAACATTTGACATTTTAGAATCTGAAGTCGATTTTGCCCCAAATGAAAGTCACATTCTATTAAGCAAAAACTTTTCATAATGATACATATTTACATAATATTCAAAGTCAAAAAAAAAACAAGAAGAAATAAATGAATTTTTCCTTTTAATCCTGTAAATCACAAGGGACATTTTCTAGTTTGATAGTGTTGGCTAATCCAAATTTGAGATAAAAAAATAATTTAAAAATGAGGAGCCACATTTCAGTTGATTATTGTAAGTATCAAATTAGTAATCCATAAATAATGAAAGAGAAACAAGAGAAAATAATTTTTATTTCCAAAGAAGAGACAAAGTGTTCCAAACGGTCTTAATTTATCACAAGCAACAGCTATGGTTTGGAAAATTTTCCGCGGCTTCTTCCATCTCCGTCAATTTCTTTTCTTTTTTATGAAAGATGCACACAGCTTAATCCCCTTCTATTCTTGAATTTCTTCATTTTTATCTTGTTGCTTAATCTGTCTCCTTCCTCTCGTACGCAAACCCATCATTGGTTCTGGGTTTGTGTTCGATATAAGCCAATTTCTACTTGCTTTTATTCTTCTTTCCTCCAGATTTCAGGTACCCAAAACTTCTCTCTCTGCTTTTTTTTTTTTAGTTAGTTTGCACTTAAGGTTCTTTCAATTGCATCTTGTTCTATGGTTTTGATCGTTCTGAGACGTTTCTGAATAATGGGTTTTGTTACTCTGTTCTTAACTTGGTCTGATTCGATACACTCGTGCATTTCGATTTCGTTGCATATAAACTCGTTTTATACACACTATTTTTAATTTTTCTCCATTTCTCTTGCTACCAAGTTGTTTCTGATTATTATGGGCTAGAGGTTGTGTTTCATGGATCTTCACCGTTATCTTGGGGATGAAGATATTCAGTGTTGGAAAAATTTCTTTGTTTCATTATGCATCAGCACATTATGAATATTCCAGAATTTCTTTTATTATAAATTGATATCCAATGATTGCATTTCGTGCTATATCAGGAATCAAATGAATCTCGCATCAAGAATTTTTTGTGTGTGTTATTTTAAGCATAGGTTTTAACTGTTGTGCCTGAATCATGGCATTTTCTTGTTAATTGCATCGTGGTTGTCTGTCCATTTTCAGGTTTTTAGAGAAGATTTGGTTCTGTTACTGTTTGTGAAAATGTTTGGGTTTCGGAAAGTAGCCCCGAAGGAGGAAAATTCTGCAGTCTCAGTATCTTCCACTCCTGAGACAACCCTTACGCCAGAAAGAAGAACAACCTCAGAACCTGTCCTACCAGCACCAAAATCAAAAGGAAATTACTTCGATGATGATGACGACGATGACGATTGGGGAAGAGGAAGAAAGGCTTCTGCCACTTCATCATCTTCCTCGGCTGCTGCTAAAAACAGGTACAAGAATAATTTCCAGGACTCTGGGGGCCTCGAGAACCAGAGTGTCCAAGAGCTGGAAAACTATGCTGTATACAAGTCCGAAGAGACGACAAAGGATGTTAACAATTGTCTGAGGATAGCTGAGGACATAAAAGGGGATGCTACAAGGACCCTTGAGATGTTGCATGAGCAGGGTGATCAAATCACCAGGACCCACAATATGATTGTTGATACTGAGAAGGATTTGAGTCGGGTACTTTTTGTTTCCTTTTCTGTTGGTGACAATAAAAATTTAGGTGGATTAGGTTTCAGAAACTCATTAAATCTAGGGTTTCCTGCCTGGTGAAATTATGAACAATTTCATTAAGTGTTTATTTCAAAGAATCATTTACATGAGAATTTTGTTAGTGCTAAAACACTATACAGTTAAAGTGATGATGGCATAGCAAACTGTGAGAAGGTTGAAGTGTAAGTGAAGGATTTTGATGTGTTAATCAACATTATGGTTATAGAACTTCTCAACTTCAGTACTTTGTATAGTGTTGCTACTTTTATTTCCTGGCTTTGTTTTCAATGTCTTTTAGAATTATTTAAACTTACATTCTGATCATTAGGGTGAAAAACTGTTAAACAATCTTGGAGGCATGTTCTCTATGCCCTGGAGGCCAAAGAAGAACAAGGAGATTAAAGGCCCTGTAATTACACCAGGTTTTCTTCTAAGCTTTCGTGTCTAATTTCTTTGGTATACTTCGTTGTTCCAAAATCTTAGCCATGAGTTCTCTGACATAAAGATATGACATAACTATGGTATTTTAATTAAATTTACTAATAATAGATCTTTTACCTGGTGAGCTTTACTAGCTCTATGTGCATTGTGCAGGGGTTAAAATCATGGAATCCTGGGCAACAGTAAATTGTTAACAAACAAAATAAAATATAGCTCCTTGTGAATTGTAAAGGAGGCAAATCCACATAGTCCCAGAAATCAATACATAAATAGTGACATTTATTTTGTTTATATATGTATTGACAAGTAAACCAGAATAGCTCCTGATGCTATACAGCAGTCCACACATCAAAAATCCTATAAAACAACAAAAAACAATGACATTTATTATAGATATATTGATCTTTCTGTGTGTCACCGTATGCATTGAATATTTTATCATGTCCTATAATGAATCATATGTTTAGGTATTGATGTGAATGACGTATTTGAAATGACAAGGTCATGTGATGTCCATAACAGACCAGGGTATTTTACTAAATTTAATGTTTGATGTCTGAACAGACAAGCCGTCCAAGACCGATGATAAGAAGCAAAAGGAAGAGAGGGAAAAGTTAGGCCTAACTGATAAAGGAAAGGCAGCTTCTAAAACACCTTCAGAACCAACAAATGCCTATCAGAAAATTGAGGTATGCGTTCCTCATGACATATTGGTTGTGATTTGGAAAGCATCAGTCTTGTTTTAGGATGTCTCATGAAATGATCTTTTGAACAGTTAGAGAAGAACAAACAAGATGAAGCTCTCGATGATCTGAGTAATATCTTGGGCGATTTAAAGGGTATAGCATTTGAAATGGGATCTGAACTTGACAGGTAAAAACTGTGTTTGGTGTTTGCAATTCCTTGATATTTGATAGTGTTTGTTGTCAAGAATTGAGTTGTGTTAGAAATATATGAAGCAAAATTAATTATGTTTTTTCAGTTAATGGATTAGTTTTTCAAACAAAATGTTCCTCAATGCATGCTCAAAGCTATGGGTATTGTACTTGTTTAGTGGTTGGTTGAATAGAAGGGACTTGATTCTCCTTAAATAAGGTCAATAATTTAATTCTCATAAATGAAAAAAGTTACCTTGGAATATCCACCCTTAACTAGATTTGACAATATTAAAATTTAACCTAATAGTAGTAGATTTCAGGTAATTGTGTTAAAAAATTTAAAAAAAAATTAATACTTTTTTCATTATAAAAATGAATAATGTGGGTCAGCATTTTGCTCTTGGTTTTAGACTACTCAGGCCTGACGATGTTTAATTTGGGCTTGGACTCCCTACTTTAAGTCCAATGATTGGGTTTGGACAAAAAGTAACTCCAATTATAATTCAGGCTGAGTTTAGGCGTTTGCTTTTCGAATGGGTTTGATCATATGTACATAGAGGAAATTATATTAAAATGTCATATACAAATAATTACATACTATGTAATATATATTATATAAGCCATATATCTTCATAAAGTGCTTGATTGATGCTTTATATGGTTTTATTGCAGGCAAAATAAAGCTCTTGATCATCTTAGTGATGATGTGGATGAACTGAATTCTCGAGTCAAAGGTGCTAACCAGCGTGCTCGCAAACTGCTAGCAAGTTAGCATATTTTGAAGAAGCTATTGAAATCTCCTTTTCCATTTTCTCTTGTAATGGTGTTTTTTGATTTTTTTTTTTTCCTTGCTATTGATTGTAATTTGTCTTTGATATTAAATTTGCTGCCCCCCTCCAGATTTTTTTTGGGTACAACTGAACGTATTTTCACCCTCTCTTTTTTGGAGTCATGCGAGCCGTCCTCTCAATTAAGATGTGCATCTATCTACTTATGTACAAAATATCTTATAGCAAATTGCTCTGTTCCAAATTCACAAATAACATGATTTGTTTCTTACATTTCATTATCTCACTGGACTCATTAATCTTGCTACCTTTTAAGCAAAGTGAAAAAGCTCATTTGTTGAGCTTTTTTGTTTAAAAAAAAAATTAGCCTGCACAATGGTTTTCATTCTTCTACCTTTGGTATTCATTGATTAAAAAAGGAAGTTAAATAAAAAAAAAGGATATTTAAGTATATTCATCAAGAAACCAGTGAACTTAAGGTACTGAATGAAAAACAGAAGGCTAAAGGCTATTTCAAGTAAAGTAATAGCGAATTAGGAACCTGCTCTTAATAAAAAACATTTTTACACCGACGTCGTTTATTTGGTGCATTTTGGTCACATCAGTATCATCTCATATGAAGCCTCCGAAACTCGCGTCTGACAACAGTATGAAACAGAGTATGCAAGTTACAAAGGGAGCAATATAAATAAATCCCTCAAAGGAATGCCACAAATGGCTTATGTTCTGTCAGAAAATTTGCTTAATATACAGAGGAATTTTTCCCTTAAACAAGCACCATGAGAGCACCATCTTACAACACCAAACCAACTTATATGCCCCATTAATTTTTGTAGGGTGGGTCTACTTTAGAATTTCTCATTTCATCAGAATGTAACATTATATGGTTTTATGGTTCCTCAGTCTTCACAAGAGCCCATTCTCTACCCTCAGATTTCTTCCTGCCATGTGACATGCGACCAAGAAAGTAGCCTATAAGGGTACCAAGTATCAATACACTTCCTCCCTTAACATACCATGAAAATGTCCACCCAGCTCTATCTTTGGCATCACCACTGACAACTTCACCAGATGCTAGAATTTCCACCATATCATGCACCTCACCATCATGATTCCCAACATAAGAAAGCACAAGCTTCTTTTTCGTAGCAACCAATCTGGTGTACCCAAACTCGCCCCCACGGTACAAAGACCGTTCTGGTTGGGGATAGATTGGGTCCTTTGGGTGGTCAGGTCTGGGTTCCCAAATGGGTTGCCAATCTTGCCCTGCCATGCCAATTACTATATGAACTGTATAGGCTTCTGAGTCCTCCCCTTTTTGACCCACACAGTTACTACAAGTGAAGTTGTTTAGAGGACAAAATCTCTCATATCTGTGAACATGACCCCATAAGGCTAGGGTCACGTTGTTTTTCACCAACAAAGGTTCCAAGTGCTCCAGCATCCTTGCTCTCAATCCAGCATCTCTTAATTCGTTACTTGTTGTGTACATGGGTCGGTGCCCTTGGACTATCACAAAAGGAGTCTTATCCCTATCAACTGATTCCAAATCATGCTTCAAAAAGTTATACTGACTGCTTCCAGGAAGGAAATTGGTCTCGGTTGAGAAGTACACAAAATGTACTGCTCCCACATCAAATGAGTAATAAAGGTTCCGAGTTGCTGGGGCTTCAGTTCCAGTGAGTTCCTCAGAGTTTCCAGGCATATTGAACCTTAAACTGTAGGGTACACCACACTCACCACCCCCATCTCTTCCATAACTAGCCCAATCAGGTTTCCATGGCTGTAAGGGCCAGTTATATTCATGATTACCAATGCAAACATGGTATGCGACTTTGGCTGCAACAGCTTCAATTTGAGTGAAAAAATGGTCCCACAACCACGAGTATCCTCTGGCATAGCTGATGTCTCCAATGTGGGAGATGAATGCTGGCTTGTCACCAAGAGCTTCAATATCACGGAGGATCCATTTCATTGTCAATATGCTTTCCTCTTGTGTTCGCAGAAATGTATTGTAAGGAGTGGCAGTTCCCATGTCACCAAAGAGAAAAGCTATTGTTTCATCTGAATCACCATTCCTTGACACAAAGCTGTGTGTTTCACTCCAACCTCCATAATCATTTCCAACCTGGGAAAAAAAAAAAGATGATAAGCTAAAGAGTAGATGATAAAGGCAGATACATTGAGTTAATGCCCTACTGCTTTATATGATTGAACTAATTCTGAGCAAGAATTCATATGTTTCGTTTTAAAAAGTGAAAGAAACACAAGGCAAGCTATTCTCGTTCGTGCATCAAAGAAGTAAATATACTGGAGAACCAGAAATGGATAACTCGGGGTTCTTTTTGGAAATACCTGAAAAAAGAGAAACTAACAGAAGAGACCAAAAAACATACATGTATTCCAGATGTTTAAGTAAAATTATTTTATAAACGAGTCCAAAGGAAAAAAATTCATAAGTGTAACAATAAATAAAGCTCAAATGCAGCAGTTTTGCAGTTCCATGGAAGAAAGCCACAACCAAGTTTTCACAAAGTAACCAACTAGAAGTATCAATTGCACTGACAACCAAGAAAAAAGTTAACGGATCAAAAAGAATAGAAAGAGGAATTAAAGCTCAATGCATATTTTTTTGGTTAAAACAAAAAGGATCTGAAGCCACTACCGAAGCACCACAATCATGTGTCAATCAATCACTCTATCAAAGTTGGAACTGAAACTCTACTAATCAATAAGACATGACCAATTTAGCATACAGTAGAACATTTGAGGAATTCCCTGAAAAGGAAAAGTCAAAAAGTTAAGGAAACTATCAAAAAAAAAAAAAAGGGAATGAGGCTTGTTGAGGCGTATGAAGTCAGGCAAATTGTAATAGGCAGTCAAGATAAAGTACAACTCAAAATAGCAAACATTTACAGTATCATGCTCAACAACCACAAACTTAAACAGAAACAGAACAACCAAGAGGTGAATACAGGGAATACAAGGTCAAAAACCTTAGAAATCGATAGATTCAATTCAACAAATGCCTCATAGTGGATAGTTTACCTTGTAATAATATCTCACCCCTTTCTTCAAATTCGTCATAACTCCGTCATGAATGTACCCTGGATCACGCCAACCAATGCTTCCGTTCGCCGGCGCGTCGCACATGTGCTCCCTCTCATATCTCCTCACACGCGCCAGCGCTACACTATCCAACTTCCTCTCTCTCTCCCCGTACCTCACATACGTCTCCCTCGCATCCTCCGTGATGTACACGACCCGCATCTCGTCGTCATTGTCCGTGAAGGCCAAATGAATCTGCACTGGCCCACGACCCGAGAGGAACTTGACCACCTCGGAGGAGGCCAGGAGGTGCGCCGTGCCGGGCAAGGGGTTGTGGTCTTCATCAAGGCGAGACGGGTCGACCTCAGAGCGGGTCCAACGGAAGATCCGGAAGGAGTAGCTGGATCGGAGGTTGACGAGAGGGAGGGAAATGGAACCCGACCCGGATTTCCATGTGGGTGATTTAGAGAGGAAGATGTAGCCGATGAATTGATCGTTGGGAGAGTCAGGAGGCGAGTATATGCCAAGCCAGTCAATATCGGAGGGAGAGTCGACGCCGGACCATTTGATAAGGACGGAGTCGCCGGATTTGAAAAGGGTGGTAGAGTTGAGAGAGATAGAGACCTGGGATTGCAAAGAAGGGTCCAAGAAGGTGAAGAACACAAGTAGTATGAGAGGCACCATGCTTTCACAGTATTGCTAAGTGATCACATTAATTGAAGGGAAGGAAGAGAACAGATACTATATGACCTGGTCGCGATTATACAGAGCTGAGAAGAGAAGACATGGATATGTATTTATTTGGGAATGAAACCGTGGGTTTTGCAAATAGAGATAATAGATTATAAGATAGGATAGGAGCTTTCGTACAAGAGGCTCAAGGCATATTCTTCCAATTCTGCGAATCATTTTCTTCATTCATATATGCTTATGCTATTTGTGTTAACCCTTTTTTTGTTTTAAGTAGGTTTGTTCTTTTGCTGTAGATTTTCTACTTTCTTCCCTTTTTTTTTCTATAAAATGGGTCGAATATATTAAAAAAAAAATTAAGGTACATCAATCTAAAAAGGCTTTAAAGTAAAAATTAGTTTAACCTTTGTGACCGAAAAATAGTAAAAGAAAAAAAAAACAAAAGAAAACATCTTTATAAGCTTTAAACACACAACAATTTTGGAATGAAAGATCAACCATTACTCAAATGGAGATTGTAACGAAAGCTGAAATAATCTCAATAGCTTTTCATTATCCAGCACTTTTTTGTAGAAAAGTGACGGTTGATCAAAAGTTTGGAAATCACCAACCTTATCAAGAGCATTACTAGCCAAATAGTGTACACAAAAATTGACTCTCATATGCATAAAATCTAAAGAATAATTGCTTTGGCATATTGGTAAATGCTTTAACTTTTCGAAAGCCTTTGTTCCAACACACGTAAAGATCGTGTAAGATATAGCAGCTACCTCTGTAATGGGGGGGGGGGGTGAAAAATTGCCAATATTCACTTTAAAGTTCCCTTAGCTAATTAGCATTACTATCACGTACAATGCTTCCCAATTTCATTCTTGTAAGAGCCATCTACATTCCCTCTTGGCTTTGCCTCTGACTAGTTTAAACCATTGGCTTTGAGATTATCCCACTCTCTTCCTCAAAACTCAAAAGCATAGGAATTGTGTGAAAGGTAAAGATCTATCCTCGCTTTGTGTAGAACATGAACATAAAAATTTAGAGTTGATTTTCCAAATCTGAGCAGGAATCTTTGGAAATATTGTTTTCTCACCAACTCAAATCGAAGTTTGACTTTACTATCAAATAATAGCAAGGTCGTAAAGAGATTAAAAAAAAAACAGAAGAGTTAATGCAGAGTTGATTTTAAAAGAATTGGATCAAGGAACAGAAATGAGATGATAAGATTGGAGAATGGTAAACAATAGAAATTAAAAATATTGATTTACTTTGAAGTAATGTCTTTCTTATGCTAAAAAAAAATAATATAACACTATTTATTTTTGTATACCATGCATACATAAGTACATACGCGAGATAACTTTTGAGTAATCAGGAAATCTCAAGTTAAATTTAAGTACTACCGTATTTAAATGATAATCCATAGTTGTCTTACACGATTTATTATTTTTTTATTCATAAACTTTGATATTTCCTCCCAATCAATACAGCAAGTTACTTGATATCTTTGTGGGCCAAATATGTGAATTGGTTTCAAATGATATTTATATTTTGGAATATCCATTTTTACACTATTCAATCTTGAAAAACGTTTCACTTACATTTGACTTTTTTTTTTTTGTTAGTTTACACTTTATATTAGTCCCTTATCCCTATTTATTTAATTTTTAAATGAAAGATCAAATCATAGATTAAGATTAAAAAAAAAGTTGCCATGCCCCCGTGACTAAAACCAAGACAGAAAACATTATTACAAATTTTAAAGCCATAAAATATGAGATAGGGTGCAGAATGAGAATGGGTTCGGTCCAACTTGCAGGATATGGATCATGTGTGGCGAGAAACCATGCAGCAGATGAGAAGTGAAAAACTCCGACCATAAATTCTTACCTAACGACTAGTAATAAATAAATATATAAAAATATTTTTCATTTGTAAACACACAATCAAGTTTAATCTAAAATAAAAATTTATAAAAAAATATAATATTTTTAATAAATCTGTTAATAATTAATTTAAATAATACAGATTTTCTCTGAATGGTTTAGTTTAATATTATTTTTATAAATTCACTATCAATATATTTTAAAATTTGAACAGTTTATAGCTAATATTAATTTTTTTTCATAATCCTTATAATTTTTTTATTTTGATAAATATGATTATTAAAAATAAAGATAATATTTCTAGCACTTTTCAAAAAATATTTTTTTTAAAAAATACAAGTTAAAAATTTTAAATATGAATTAAAATTAAATCTAAACTATCCAGAACACATTTGAATAGTTAATTTATAAAAATAAAAAATAAATATTAAATTAAACTATTTAAATAAAATTTATACTGTCCAAATTAGTTATTAATAAATTTATTAAAAATATTATTTTTTTTATAAATTTTTATTTTGGATATAACATGATTATGTGTTTGCAAAGAAGGAACTTTTTTATAAATCTATCTTTTATCAGTCATTAGATAAAAATTTATGATCAAGATTTTTCACATCCCATCCACAGCACGTTTTTAGTGCACACATGACCCATATCCCCAAACATGTATGCTTGGCACTTGTCAGTCCCATTTCCAATGAGAGCTTCAATTCTCCCAGGCCACAAGAATGGTCCTCATTCCAAGGAAATGGCTCACACACACACACACACACACACACTTAACCAAATCTTCTTTGCTTGATATTTTTTTAGACAAAATCACCCTTCAATTGATTTTTGCATGTCCTCTCCCTCTCACTCTCATCTTAATCTCCCTCTCTTCCATGCCATTGACCCCATCACTTTCATAAGTCTCTATTCATTATCTCCCCTTCTCCCAATATCGGTGACATCTCTTTTGTTAATCAACTAGCGGTTCATTTGGCTTTGTAGTTTTTAATATTTAAAAATTATTTTTTTACTTTTCAAAAGTTAGATATTATTTAATTTTTAATTTTTTTAAGAAGTCCATTTAAAATATTCTTTTTAAATATAGTTAAATGTGCTTTTGACTAACTTAAAATAATAGAGCCTTTAAAAAATGAATTTGAAAAATGTGATGTTATTTTACCATACTATTTCAAGTTTAATCTCTTATTCTTTTATTTAAAAAATAGTTAATTTATTAAAAATATAATTATCATTTCAATAATAATAATTAGGTATCAAGTTTTTAGCATTATAAATTGAATAATTAATCATGTTAATTTTTAGCATTAATGTATAATAAAAATTATAAATCTTTATCACATTTTTTAAAGTTACAAATTAAAAAAATACAAATAACGAGAGATCAAGTTTTTAGCATTATAGATCAAACTTTATATTATTGAAAATCTTTATTACATTTTTAAATATTTCAAATATATTACATTTATATAATAAAAATTAAAAATATCATAAATTAATGTTCTTTTTAGTAATTGTACATTCAAAAATACATTTTACTATCACAATCCAAACAACTTTTAGTATATTAAACCGACTTTTAAAAAGATATATCTAAATATAAAATTTTATCACAACAACTAACTTTTATCAAATGAATTTTTAACAAATGAACTTTTAACAAATTGAAAATTAAATACACACTAGATCTACTAGAGATGGTTAGGTGTCTTCTCCTTCCATCAAACCCAGCAACAACAAACTTGTGATTTGAATGAACCCAACAATGACAAGTAATAACAGGGTGTCTTCTAATCTACTAGTAGTGGTGAGGTGAGACAAAACCCAACAATGACAAGCAACAAGGAGACTAGTTTTTGATTTGGGATTTTCATTCCCTTACCATTGTTGGTTTGACAGAGCTTTAGATGTGGTTGTGGTAGTGTTCAAAGAAAGATGAAGCACCCTCGTCCTGACGGACATGACAGTGATGTTGGGTTCTGTTCTTGTCAGCAATGGGTTCAAGGATGATGTTGGTTCTACTATGGTGGTCCTTAGGTTGGTGCAGATTTTGCAAGATGACGAGATGTGGTATTGCTAGTGTGTGTGTTTTTTTTTAATTGATAAGAGCATGGACATTATGGTATTTTTTATTATTAATTACATATCAAGTAAAAATAATTCCATCATTCCATTAACATACCAAACATATTTTTAAACTTCATTCCTATTTTCATTTTATCAAAAATCATTCCATTATATCAAATAAGGCCTAACATTAACAGGAGATAATAGCTTGATGGACCTTCCTTTATGGTAGACAATTTGATGATGAGGTGATGAGTCAAGAGAACATAGAGAGAAATTGATGATCCAATGTAACATTGTACGTAAGAATTTGGAAGGATTGGTATTGTTTTAGATTTTCTTCCATCTAATTTCATGCGGCTTCTCGTTGTTACAGATGACTAAGCACTGAGACTAATTAATAAATTCTAAGATATTTGGATTTTCTCATTCAAATGGTCCAAAGAGTGAATTGATAAATCAAGCAATTTTATATCCTTTGGATTTATCATTCATGCCATGAGGCTTACAATCCAACAATTTGGAGTGGTTAATGTTGCTCTGCGGCAAACTTGTGTAAGATATTGAGATATTCCCTGAAATTTCTAGACAAACAAACAAATATTTCATTGGCAATTTCAGTTTCCAAATGATATTCCAAAAGGCTTTCAATTGAAATGATTCAGTTGAAGGCTGAAAACCAGGACACAGTTGAAGGCCTTTCTTGATATTTTAGTTTCCATCACGACTCTAGCTAAGTTTTTCTGACTTATCTCAAAATGAGATAGTGTTGTGAGCACAAGCATAAACGAATAGCATATATTAAAAGACTAGCTTGTTAGGAAGAAAGTCATTCATACTTATAAACTTTACTCTACTTGTGAGGCTTCTTAATATGAGATTCATGACATTATCATCCCATTCAAAAGCTGGTGTCCTTGACAATTCCATCCCATGGCACTATAATCGGTCTCTTACCAGTCAGAACCCTTTATAGATAACCATTTCTATGATATTAGACACTCATTGAAAGCATCAATGTTATGTGCATAATTCTAAAAAAAGAACTCATATTAAAAGACTAACTTATTAGGAGGGAGAATCTCTCATATTTATAAATTCAACTTCACTTATGATCATATAAATTCCTTGCCACCATGAGAGATCTTCTAATCCTTTCTTCCACCCATGATCTTGAGGAATTTGCTAATATCCGGTCTACCT